ATACCTAAAACCCCCCATCCCTGTGATTGATACAGGACCATGTATGTGCCCCCCTGCCTGTGTCTGTGTGTGCACAAGCCGGTGCCCACAGGGACAGGGAGTGCTGCCAGCTCCAGCGACTGCTGGCATCCCCCCCAAGCCTGGGAACTCAAGATTTTGAACAAAATGTCATTCTCCCAAAGTCACAAAGTAAAGCTGGGGCATGCAAGAGAGAGTCTTGGAGGCCAGCATGCCCCCCTCTGCTCCCTTGGGAAGTGTTGTGGCCCCTGCAGAGGAGGAATGCCATGTACCATGGGCTGCCAGGGGGTTACAGCAGTTTGGTTTGGTTTGGCCCTGGGCTCCTACACATAACTGTGATGGGTTATGGGGCCTAAATAGGGACTGGGAACAGTGGGCTGTGGCTGGGATGCAGTGCTGTCTTGATGTGGTCAGATCCATCGGAAACCCCAGTGGATGGGGGAGAATAGAGGCAAGGGGTGCTTCTTGCACCCCTTGAGATCTCCCCTGCTGCAGGCTACTAAAGCCCCCTCAGAAGCAGGGAGAGGTTGTGTGAGTTGCAGCAGCCCTGAGCCATGCCGGGTAATGCCAGCCATGGTGGCAGCAGAGAAAAGCTGCAGCCCCCAGCCCAGTCACCAGACAAGGGGATCACCCCGGTGCTGGCTCTGCAACCCTGGCAGTGCCAAGACCTGCTCAGTGCTTGGGATGCCCCAGTGGGCTCAAGCAGCTGCTGCTGCTCTGTCCCTATGGGAGGGGACAGCGTGTGCTCTGCCACAGTGTGAACTACCACCCTGTGGTCCAAAGGGCAGCTCAGCCCTGCCTGCCTGGCCCAGACTTTGTCCCGTAAGGGAATGACTCACCTGTCTGCACAACAGTCCTAGTGGGACCTGCCACGAGAACCATCACGGGACCAGCCACATCACCATCCATCCCCAACTGTGAGAGGGGAACGTGCACCGTGGAGTCACCCCTCAGTCCTCCTGGGGCCATGTGGCTCACAGGGCTCTCTTGGTGGGAACAAGCAGCAGCTAAGGTCAATGATGCAAAACCCCTTAGTGAGCATATTTAATTCCTGCTCTGGATTCTGTGGAGCAAGACCTTCCTCACCTCACAATTAAATGTACCCAAGTGCCACTGACCTCTAGAGTGGCTGTAAGATGGTGAGTGCCGAGACCCTCTGCTGAAGTACAGAAATGAGAAGCTAGACACTATGGGACTACAGATGGAGGGCCTGTCAGCTTGGCTGTTCCATGCCTTTTGTAAAGGGGCCCCGTTGTGGAGTTGTTTAGTTTCTGCCGGCCTCTAAAGATTTGAATATACAGCTAAAGCTGTTTGGAAGGAAGGCTGGAAAAGGTGACAGGCTGTGCCTGAAATAGCTATGACTGATCTGGGTCTCCACTGGAGATACATGAATATCAAACTATGGAGAGCATTGCACCCCCACCACTGGCTCAAGGCTGCCTCCAGCTGTTTCTGCTACATGGACCACCACATGTGCCATGAAGTAGACTTTGAAATAACTAAACAGCACAGCCTGCTTAGGGTGTGAGCTTGCTTGAGCTGAACAGACCAGATCCTGCACCCCTTGGTGACCCTCAGCTTGGACTTTTGACCTGCATCCCACCAGTATCACCCGACAGGGGACAAGGCTGCCCCAGCAGCAGGTCTGCAATGGCACCAGAAGCTTTGCCAGCTGCCTCGTGGTGTAGGTTCTGTCCTCACTGTTCCTCCACAGCAAGCAGCACCTGCAAGGGTTGTGTTGCAATTCCTGGGTTGCTGTGGTGGAGCTGGATCCCTCTGTGGGCCTAGGACAGTGGCATGGATGGGGCTGCCTGTGAGAGCAGCTATGGACACTCGGGCTTCATTTCTCTGTCAAGCAATCCCCCAGCCTTCCCCTTTGACCCTGGAGCTGAACCCTCCCTCTGCAGGAATGTTCTTCAAGGGGAGGTTGGCTCAGCTCCAGCTGTGGAATTTTTCCATGCTCCGAGACCATCTCCTGCCTTAAATGGCCCCATAACATGGCTGCATCTGCTCTCCTGCAATCACCTATTTCAGGATTTGTTTAAAATCCAGTTCCTGATGAAGTGGGACACCATCAACCCAGTGCCTTGCAATGGGGCTGAGCCCTGTGGGAGAACACTGGGGCACAGGGGACTGGTTGCCCCAGGGTCCCCCACAGCAGTGTGCCCAGGCACAGGGGAGTCTGGTGCTGCTCCAGCTCTCCCAAGCATCTCCCTTCCCTGTATGCAGGTCAGATTTCCTGTATCTAGGTC